ACTTGCATTGATATGATATGCCAACTAACCAACATGCTATGATATATTTATGTATTGCTGTGAATTTATTTTCTGGAAGGGCTTTTAATATTGGCAGGCAGTGAGTAGAAAAAAGAAGTAGAGCTGTGAACTAAATTCCCAAGCGAAGCGAATGACATGAAAAACTACTGAAGCCCAAAATCACAAAAAGAATAGAAAAAAAATTAAAACAGAAACTAAAATAAATACAAAATTGCACATAATAATATTATGTAAAAAAAAACACTAATAATAATAAAACTAAATGAATTCGTGGCAACAGCAAATGTAAAGTATTGCAATAAAAGTAAAAAAACCGCTGACACAACAGCAATAATAGCAAGCAGATACAACTCGAGGACGAAAATAATGCAGCATATTTGCCTCAAAACTAAACGTAACGTCGAAACAGGAAACAGTTACAAATATGAAATGGAGCAGACCACCAGGAAGGATTGTACAAACCAAACTTGCAAAAAAAAAACTAAACGACAAAAGAAAAATACATTGCACCAACAGGCAGAGAGTAAGCTTTTTATCCTTTTCTGTTAGTTGGCAAGGAAGTTGTCACAGAAACAGGGTACATCCTTTGTATCTTCCCGAACAACAAGCAAACCCACTTGAGCTTCACAGAAGGCATGAAATACCCACGCTGATGACGGGGGGCGACAATTCGGCTGTGGAAATTTAGGTCAACGCAATATATTGTATAATTTTTGGAAGTAAGGGCATACATTTATGCTGACATGTACATGCAAATTAGTGTGTAATGTATGAGGAGCGGCCAGATACTTAAAGATATGAGGGAAGACTATTTGTTGTTGATAAAAACAATAAGGGCAAGAGCATATCTAATAGTTACATGAGGAATATCACTTAGTGTCTAGCCGGTGTTTCAATGCTGTTTTGTTCAGCATCAATTGCTAATGATCGGTGAAACCAGTATCAACGTGTTTTTTTACGGGCATTAACAAATAACATTCGTTTTTGGAATTCATTAGAGCCAAGACTTGCAAAGCTTTCTTAATCTCTTAATTCGTTTATTATTTTAATTCACTTTCCACTTCAGGACACTGGCACAATTCATATCTTGAGCAATGGAATTGTAAGTTAAAGATTTCGTTTCAAGTTCAAAGCGGGAATTTCTTATTTTAATTTTAGTGAAATTTTAAGACAATGGTCAGGTTTTGTTACAATAAATGTGTCCTCGATTTTGCTCAGAGCAAAGAAGTCAAACGCACAGCACCAAGTTCCATGCCAAAAAATATATTTTATAACAAAAATCTTTAAGTGCGTCTTAAATCTAAATCCAATGGCAAAATGGTAAAATGTAAAAGTTTTAAGAAGAAGTGAAATTAATTGTGTTGCACTTCAACAAAAGCACACAATATACCAGAGTAGAGCGCTTAACAACTGATAAAATGTAGCCATGGATACTCTATTTTACACTGTGCAACATCCATTTCAGTCTAAATTTTTTAATTATTTGCAATTATTCTCTACTTGTTGCCTCTTAATTTTTGTTAAGCGCCACAGACACGATATTTCTTGTCTGCATTTTTAGCTTCTTTGATGCCAACGACTTCTTATGCCATGTCGTGAGCTACATAGCAACGTTAAGCACTTCGCTGGTTTCGCACAAGTTTCAAATTAATTGAATTACTTCAGAGATGCCAACAGAGGCGAGATGCCTGCTATGGCCAAGGTGTTGAACAATCCAGAGCAGCTTTGTTGGCCAACCATATTGCATTTTTTGTCAAGTTTATACTGGCCCTATCAGCCTAATTCTTTTCATATAAATTTTCAGTGTTAAGTTGTTAGCTTTGCCTATTTATTTAAATTAGTAATTTTCTAATTTATTCAATAAAATTACATTTTTTAATAGATTATAACCAGAGTAAAAGCTCATCAAGAAAAGTAGAAATGCATGTACAAAATTTCTAATATTATTTAAACAGTACACAAAACCATGGACGCACTAATTTTTATTTTTTTGTTGTTGTAATTATTAACATTAGTTCAGCTGTCAACATCCACGCTCGCCTACCTCACAATAGCTATTATTCACACCGTTGAGACAAAGAAAGTTCTCGAAACATCGTGAGCTGACAGCGAAGACACTAACTCCTCTTTTAGAAAAAAGGCGAAATAAATTACTTGAACACACCTTGGCACCAAACAATTACGTGTCATTTATTTTTTCGATTTGTATTCATTAAAAGATATGGCACTACAAGTCTCGAGAAGCACAAAGGCTCGTCTGAGTTGGCCACTTTGTACACCCTTCTGTCATTTGTTCCCCAAATACCACGCCTATTGACCTTTCGTGGTTGTAGGATGCCAGAATTCGCATTCCAAAAGCCAAACAATAAAGATGAATATCTAAAATTAAAGTCACTAACAGCAAAGCTTCAGAGACTAATGGCGGATACTAAGTTCACCCAAGACAGAAAAATCAACAAAGTAGCACAAAATAGAGTTGGGAGAGTGTGTGTGGGTCAACGAAGCAGAAGTTAAAAACATGTATTTATAGTAGTTATTGGTGTGGGTGGTTGTGTGTTAAGCAAATTTATTTATCACACATTTATTTTCACTAAAGTAAATGCATCTCTGAAAGAATTAGCTGTGTGTTGCAAATCTTTTGAAAATACATACAGGATATAGTACATTCTCTCCGGCCGTAGCTTTTGAAATTTTCACCCACTTTTGTCGCTTTCTTTTTTAAATTGCTTTGCCGTCTCCTGTATATCTCCTGTGTGTGCGTGTGTTCGTGAATGTACTGCAATTTATGTCAAGCCTGGGATTTACTTTTGGTTTGGTCTCAAAACCAAAGTGCAGCATCGTTAAACGTAGCAATCTCCAGCAATTTCCCAGACCACCAAATGGCGGCTTAGCTTTCATTTTTTGTTCGTTTTCGTAAAATAATGTGGATAGATTCAAGCGCTGGGTTCTACTATGAATTTTCACAGACATACCTATACTGTAATTTTTTGAACTGAGATATTTCCAAACTTGCTCAATTTGTTCGAGCGCGGGAGCTCTTTAACAATATATGTTTAATATTGTTATAAAATCTTTATTTGTTAAATTATATTTACACCACTTACTACTTAATCGCCAGCGCACTGGATTTGCATTTTCACTCATCACCGTGCCGTCAATGGTACATTTTGAAGGAAACCTTAAACGAGTCTCTACTTCCTGTTTTCAATGTAATTTTCAAGATAGCAAAATATCCAAACATTTAAGTCGAAATATCAAAGTTTAAACCGAATATAAGCTTTCCGATATTTTCAGCGCATTTTGCACTTAAAGCCTCTCAAACTATACAGTAGTATTAAAAACAATTACCTGTCCATCGCGGATTGTCTCTACATTATATTTCTTTAATATTTCGAAAAGAGAATTTTGGGTACTTAGAACATTTCTTTCAAGCATTTTCTAATCAAACGCGCATATCCAGCTATATCAAAGCTTGCAATAAAATAAATTTTAAGCATAAACGAACAAAAAATTTCAATAATAATATCAGAATTTCAGATTTTTATGAAATTAAAATTTAATGAAAGAGTTGGTTGAACATTTTTTTAATATTAATATTTGAATTATCATACTCTCATCTCGAGCCTAATTTTACGATCGCTTGAGCAGTAATTTTATAGCTAAAAAATAACAAGCTTCGAACTAAAGCTCTTTCGGCACCTAAACCTTTTACTTCACTTTAAACAGCAACAAAGGACACAGCTTACTTTAGTACTGTTAACCGCTTCCATCAACAGGTGACAACAAAACACACATAATCTTTTGCGACAACTTTTATCAACTAATCAAATTTCCAAATCGATATTATCCTCCCTTTGTTGCTCTTTGTTGCCCAGTGAAGTAGCGAACAGGTGAGCAAATAGAAATTCTGCTGCAAGTAATGTGTTGTTAGTGATTTTCCGTTTCAATAGCACCGTTATCGGGTTAACCTTATTGGCGAAGTAAAGCCAATCGCAGCATATTTGGGGCGGACAAACTCAATTTTGAAACACAATAACTGCGGATAACAATGCATGTGATGTACCGAGAAGCGTACACACCCACACTTTTACAACGAAGCAAGGGATGGAAGATAATGGTTTGAAGAAACTGACAACAAAAAGGAAAAGGAACAAGCAAAAGTGATAAAAACAATCATAAACATAATCTATCAACAATGAGTACAAAACAACCGTTGTATTACCGTTATATTACAGAAATAGCAATGGTAACACAAACCGGATACAATCACTCTAAGGTAATTTTTGGTGCGCTGTAGTAATGTGCCGTAAGAAACGCTCCAAATGAGAAGAATGCCGCTACAAAACCACAGCGACTGAAACAAATAAGAAATCACAACTACGAAAGTTAAATCGCAACAAATGTGCGTTAAGTCAACACTGCTCCTTGGTTCAGAGGGACGCTCTTAGGAGTAATCGAGTATACGCCTATCGCACTGCTAGTTGCTCATCGCATTTCGATGATTTCACCTTCCTTATTGCTATCATTCTTTTTTCCTCAACCTTCCGTTTGCCTCAACCACTTCCTCTTATGTTTTCCCGTTTCAAGTTTCCTAAATGACGTATACGCCATGTTGACGACCGAGAGGTTGAAGTGGCTTCTCCGATTTATTTTACTTACAACACGTACAGCGCTGTTGTTGTTGTGAGCAGCACGCGCTAACTTCTCTTTCGGCATGACATTCTACAAATGATAAATGCGGGCGGCACTCAAATCAAACACTTAACACAACCGAAACCAAACAATCACTTCCCTGAATCAGGGTGAATCTGCGCGGAGTGTAACTTTTAACCGTTTCATTGAAGTAATTTTAAGTTTTCTGGTGATTTCCCCCTTCCACCACACCAAGCACAAAGAACTGATTTTACTTAATCTTTTTTCCTACAGTTTTCTAAGATTTAATATTGGTTTTCACACTCTATTTCTTTTTCCTTTTACAGTTTGCACAGCTGGCCCGCATGAGAAACGCCTTCTTCACGCCCTGCTCGACAACTACAACAGTCTGGAGCGACCCGTCGTAAACGAATCCGATCCACTGCAGTTGAGCTTCGGGCTGACGCTAATGCAAATCATAGATGTGGTAAGTTTTATATATCTTTGACTCTTTTTTTTTTTTTTTTTGAAGTAAGTAGGCGTTACCCGTATCACACGCTCTCATACATTAATCAGAAGTCTAATGTGCAAATAAGATTTTAATACGCCGTGAGGTATGCTACACAAAATCATTATATGAGCAAACAAAGCCAATTACGCGGGCGTTGCGCACAAAAAGGATTATTTAGCCTTAATTTAGCCTCACAATATATACAAATATTCCATGTAGGAGTGATCCGCACACATCGTCAAGCTCTCGTGGAGTATGGGGGTACCGAAACCGATGGTGGCAGCAAAACCGGCAAACAGAGCTACAGGCGGTAATGAAAAACTTTTTGACATGAACCTCATTAGCATGTGTTCAAGCGAATGTGAACGAAAAGAAATAGAAAAGAACTACTGCTATCACAAAACTGTTATGTGCTGCTATAGACATACACAAATACATTTGACACATAACAGTAAAGCACACATGAGTGGTGATTCCTCAGGTCTTCTACACTACAAAAATATAAGAATACTAATTTAGGGTCTACAACTAGTGGGAAATTACAAGAAAAATCGATTTGTGTATATTTTGATAGTCTATGCCCTTAAAATTAAGAACTAAAATTTTGAATAAATATTTGAAATACTTTTTTATGCTACAGCCTTCTCGAGTCAATTTATCTTGTCCCAAAACAGCATTTTTCGATTTTGCTGCAGTGATTACATGGAGACAAATGATCCCACCACTCTCTGCAAATACTCCATACAAAGAACTATTCTTGTTTGTCTAATTTTTTTTAGGTTTTATCCACGGAAAAATCTGAAATCACTGCAGTAGTGGAGAACCTTTTTTTAGAGCTGTCGGATATTATATGTAACGAGAAAAATATGTGATGTTCTGCTTCAAAATTTGTAGCTTTTATTAAAATAACTGATACAGTAACTTGTTTTTAATACCAAACATTGCCTGTTTTAGGCTGTCTCACTCGATGTGCCTCTTAACTATCCAAAAGTAAGTCATTATTTTTATAGTTAAGAAAATGATGAGAAACAAAATTTCGTGAATTTCAGGTTTACTGCATTTTCTTAGAGCTTTGAAAATTTTATCCAAATACAAACATAAAATCTTTTGTAAACAAACTTTATAGAAAAAAAGTTCACTACGCTTCACATACACAAAATATTCCTTACAAGAACTTGATTACGATCGTTCAGTTTGTATGGCTTTATGCTATAATGGTCCGAGTGGTTTCGATAAACGAGCAGCTTCTTCAGCTAAATCGCCTCAGCTCGCCATGCTGATTATTTATATTTATAGAGTCTCTGACGTTTTTTACTGGGTATTACCAACTTTCAGGCTAATTTAATATACCCTGTTTAGGGTATAAAAATAAAGTGCAAATGTAAGGTAGCAAGTTGCAGAGCTCCAAAACGTCAGCAAAAAGTGCTGTTGTCGGTAATCGGAGTCATTGATTTGCACGGATGTTATTATCGCACGCATCGCACTAACAAAACATACCATAAACATATGCAGTTAAATAGACAAGTTGACGTTATCCGGATCAGCTGCAGAACCTCCACAATGCGAAGTGAATAGCATGAAAGCAAAAGTGTCACTCGTCACGACATTGATGCCTAAAATTTACTGCTCGTCTAAGTAGTTTATGCCAAATGTAATTCCACACACTAACTCGCACAGTTTAGAGCAGCGAGTGGTGCGTATTAGCAGTAACATTCCGGTGTACCCGCCATTCCTGATGAAGCAGAGTCACCTGCGAGGACTTTTATGATCTCTGTGTGCGTAAGTGTTTAGTTAGTTCGTGTACGAAGCAAATTGTATTCATTTCGCTTCCGTCGCTGCCATTTCTTTACTAATGTAAGGCTTTACAGCTCAGAATTTTATATTTAGAAAGTATGAACGGCACCACGGCCTTGACTTTCCATGCTCTGTGCAACTTTTCACTCCTTTTCACTATACCCACAATGAGGCCAGTTGGTAATCATATTTGCTAAAACGTTCATTCAAAACAGAATACATTTACTCAGCACTACTATCTCCGCTCCCTAATAAAAGTGCTAATTAAAAGAATACAGAAGCAAATCTTTTAAAATATTATTAAAAATTAAAATGAAATAATGCAGAATCTGCACTCTACATGCAGAAACACAACAAAATTAACTAATGTGAGACGTTTGGAGATAAAAGCTTCCATTAGTACTCTAGAGGAAATGCACAACGGAAACGGAAACCTGCTCTTAACCAACTAACCAACTTACCATTGCAAAGCAAAGCCAAGCAAAATTCGTAAAATAACACACAAACGAAAAAAATAAACTAAAAAAAACACTCGTCAAGGTAGGACACAGTCGCTTTCATTAGACCAACGTTGCCGCTGCGCCTATTGTTATGCTACGTTTGCCGCGTTTATCTTCCGCTGAGTCTTCTCATTCATTTGTGCGCTTTTGTTGCTTTGTGGCTTTGTAGTCCCACCTCACATACTCACATGCACCTCCTCTTCTACATCTACACACACTGGCGTTCGGCATTTAATTACCACTTGAGTTGAGTAGCTAGCGCGGCGACACTACGAGCATAATTAGAAGGCAATGCCACTTCGATGCTTCGTAGCACTACTATTTTCAAAGTCTGCTGCTCAGCCGCCAGCTTACTTACAGCATACCAACAGACAAGCCGAGTGACAAGCGAATGCACAAACCTACTTAAACTCTTACCGAGGACCACACAGTTTACACATGCAAGCTCATGCAACATTTATCATTTCATTCAAGAAATTCACGCCCTCTGGGTCCACATACACGCACATTAGACACATATGCTTTACTTGTAATTTTCCTTCCACTGCGCCTTTGTGATTTACTAGTTCACGCTGTTGCCGCAAACCGCATGCCCTTGCTTTCTTAATCATCAACATATAAACACACACAAAAATATCGCTTTCCATGTACCTCGCGACCATTTACCAATCTAATATGTGTTTTTCTAACTGATTTTAAAATTAAAGTAATTTCCAACAAATTTGTCATATTGTAATATAACGTCCCCTGCGAAATATTATAATACAGATTATACCAAGGGAAACTAAAAATATCGCTGATGATCGCGTTTTGCTTAGTAATATGTTCTTGTCACTATTTCTTCTGAGTTTTCATTCATTTTGTAGCTTTCCCGCTGGATTTTCACCGCTGTTCTCAAACTTTATTTATTGTTCTGATGTTATTACTGAAAACAGTTCAAAACTTTTTTCTTTTAAATTTCTAAGTGTGTTTAAGAGTGGAAAGGCACTCTTCAATTATCCAATTATGATTTATAGTTGTTCTATAAAAGCAAAAAACTTTCTATTTATTATTTTATTTTGTGGTGACTTTTATTCTGTCCACTTTTGCATTGCATTTCACCTCGACATCTATTGTTTCAGCTAGCAAAATATTTACTTTTCATTGTCTGCCATTTCCTTTGTTATATTGTATTTATCGATCTGATCCATTTCACCGGCTGAAAATTTGATGAATTCATAGTTTGTCTAAGGTAATCCGGTGGCGGTGACTTAATAAATTTTATTCAAAAGTGCCGAACAACTACAAAAGCTTTCACTTTTAATAAGCAATGAAAATTGCCATTATTTTTTTATCGAAGGACTCTCATTCATTATTTTAAATATTTTAGCAAAACTATTTTAACTTTATCCACGTCTCTAAACTAGAAATCTCCCACAAAATATACCTCTCACTTTTCAATATAAGCGAACATGTATTTAAAGCCGTCGCAGATTAGTATTTCTGATATTATTGTACTCTTAATTCTTTGAAAATTTCGATCGACTCTTAAATATTATTTTCGAAAGAGAAAAAATTTACGCAAAGACTATTTAATGCACACAACTAAGTCCTTAGAACATAGCGAATTATACTCACTAAAATTGCTAACCGTTTTCACCTAGCTATGAGTGCGTACAAAGGTCTGGAAAGGCGACTCTCTTCTTGCCTGTTCTAATACTTTTTTCTAGTTTCATTATTTAACTAAAGTTACATTTCACACACCAATAATAGTCGCACATATACATTTTCTTTTATATATACAAAAGCTATGCAAAAATTAAACGAAGGTCAAACGAGTGGGCAAATACGTATATACTGTGACGTTGTTCATTTTCCAAAAAACACTAGCAAATAAATTAACAAGCCTTCACATAGATCTATGTGCAAGCCAAACAATAAATTTCACGTTAACACCCCAAAGAAATAATTTGGAAGAACTAAAAATACTTTATGTTCGCAATTGGAAGCAGATATACAAATGCAAACATTTCAAATTGTATCGGAAAATAGCAAACACTCGACTTTCGGCCTCGTGCTGAAAATAAACAAAAAAGTAGATGTATTACTTCTATAAATTAGACACAGAGGAGGCATCACGTAGCTTTCCTATACTTTATGGCTTACATAGTCAAAAGTATATTTATTTTTCACTTCAACACAATATGGCGATAATATATCAATTTTCTACGTGCTCCGTGCAGGAAAATATGTGTTAACGTACGTCCAACATGACGTATGAGTAACATTCTGTAACGGCATATTGCTGTCTATTCCAAGCAATCTTAGTAAAACAATGCAGAAGCCCGTCGATGTAATTGCTGATTGAACGAACTAAATCTGATTGCATTTGCTACTATACATTACCGTAAATTACGTGGTTTGTCGACATTTCAAAGAGGCTACACATTTCGTAGATCTATGTGCGTATGTGTGTGTTACCAAAGAACTAATTTCTCTTGTTATCCATTTTTGAAACCGCATTTTAGTGCGTACTTGCCACAAGATGAATTTGTCGCTGTGAATCACTGCATAAATACACTTACTTCCATAAATCTTCAATGTCATGACAATTTCACCACTATTGAGAAAGCCTGTAAGTGAATTATTTATTAAAAACATAGGTACTATAAAGTTACCAAGGACTAATTATGTTTATTTCGC